AGTGTGAATTGGGAGTCCAGCACTCTCTTCTTTGGTTGCTTACCCAAAGGTCAAGCCTCTCTGGATCACTTAGAGGAAAACTTCATACAAAGAACTACTTAAGCATATGGGTTTAAAATACTTAATAGCTTATCATGGCCTGTAGTAAAAGGTCTACAATTAGGATAAAGAGTAATACAAAATGCATACTTCATAAAAAAAATAATAAAACAAAACACTTGAGTCTATCACCTTATTGGACAGGATATGAAACTTTTAATAATCAATTTTATTAACTAATTTCCATTTTATTAAACTACTCTAGTTCCCATGAGAACAGGGCACCCGGTCGCGGCTCTTTGTGGACAAATTAGTTATTTAGTCGCTCCCAACCACCATTATTTTACAAATATGCAAAAAAATTAAAAAACGAGCGAGTTTGTCTGATGGCATACAGACTTCTGGAGACTACATCAAGCACTATCAACCAACTCACTGAGCTGCAGTATTTCTGTGGTCAGGTCTTTCTCCGAGTCTGAGAGCTCCACAAGCGGTCAACCCGCGCAGCAGACAGGGGCCGAAGTGGTCAGAGATGCGCCGGGCTGACCGCTGTGGAGAACTGGGTGGATGAATGGAACACAGAAGTCTCCCTCCGAGAGCTCCACCAACATGTCATATTTCAAACCATTTTTATGTTTAATGCACTGGGTTTTACACCCATCGACATATACCCTATTAATTATTTTACTGTATTACATCTAAATTTCATGGTTAAACAGTGCATGTTAAAATGGTAGTTAGCTAGCTACTTTGATAAGCTCAGCTAGTGCAAAAGCGGCAGTTGACCTAAAATACATAAATATAATTTTACTTACCGAAAAAAATTAAGTGGAGACTCCTTGGACGCTCAATTAGTACAATTAATACCACAGCAAGTCATTTTGTCCAACAATTGCACAAATAATATCCAAAAAAGAATACACAAATGCTACAACTAATGGTCTAAATTCAGAGACAAAAAATCGCAGAACAGTTTTCAGGCGAGACCGAGGCTCAAACTGAGGCTACTGAGGCTTTTCCACGAAGCTAGCTCGGTGGTCACGTGGGTCTGATGCTCATTATCCATCCATCCATTTTCTGAACCCGCTTGTCCACGCAGGGTCGGGGGGGGGGGGGTGGGGGGGGGGGGGGGCTGGTGCCTATCTCCAGCGGTCAACGGGCAATCAGGCGTGGTACACCCTGGACAGAGAGCCAGTCCATCGCAGGGCAACACAGAGACACACAGGACAAACAATCATGCACACACACACACACACTCACACCTAAGGACAATTTAGACAGGCCAATCAACCTAACAGTCATGTTTTTGGACTGTGGGAGGAAGCCGGAGTACCCGGAGAGAACCCACGCATGCACAGGGAGAACATGCTGATGCTCATTAATTATACAGAGTTTTAGGCATTTTATACACTTAAACTGAAGAGTGACAAAAAAAATTCACCCCCCTCAGAGTTGTCATGAGTGTAAACTAGATCTATTAAACCAAAAACATGTTTTGGAACCAGGCTGTAAACATTTTTATTTCTGCTGTGAAATTGGTATTTTTAACATGGGAGTCAATGAGGATTTGCTCGCTTCTGACACCAACCCCCAGCGGATGAGGGTGGAACTGCAATTAATTTCACTTCTGCATTGGCTTCAATTTCAGACCTGTATTGTGGGGGCTTGATCAGCACAGATAATTCAGCTGGAGGAGAAAATAGCTTCAGACAGCACGATTTGGAGTCTTATTTCCTGATATTGGAACATCTTGCCTCTGATTGGCTAACAGCAATGCGACTCTACCACTGACTGTTTACTCTGCACCGTTGATGTTTTATTTCTACAAATAACACAAGACTGGAGGAGTTGTGCTGTGTGGTGTAGTTGCTAATGCTAAAGGTTAGTTTCTACTAGCCAAGATGTTCTCTGCTGTTTTCTGGACACTAAACCAACAACAGCCTTCCACATTTAGAGTCAAGTTGCGTGAGTCCATGAATATAAAGTGTCAGTGTGACGTAGATCTGTTAGGCTTTTCAAATTTTTGAGTTTCACCTTATATTTTCTATCAGAATCTAATGCAGGAGATAGGTGTAGGAGGCTATTTTCATGGTCAGCCTGCATGAAACACTCAGAGTGACAGATTATAATCAGAAATAATAATTTTAAAAAATTGTTATTCAGTGTTCCACACCTTTAAACAAACAAAGGCAGAATAAACAGAGTGGTCATTACTCAAACAGATTTTAAAAACTCTTACACAATGAAACAGTGTGGTGTTGTTGCCACAACAGCCCTCTCATTACAATATGAACTTCCTGTTTAAAAGTTCTCCATTTGAAATGTTTGCAGTGAGTCTTTTCTAACCAATTCAACTGTTTCTGCTTTCATGCAATATTCCTAAATCAGTCCTCTAGCTCCATCCTTAACAGATAAATCTGCATATACATCACAGCAAGAGTCTGATTTACAAATCAAAAGGTCAGAGTTTCATCAATCCTGTCAAATTAGCTAAATCCATCCAACATAATGTAATTTTAGTCTGGTAGATTCTTCTTCCGGCTCTTGGAGGGTGCAGACGCTTTTCTTCTCCTCTCCTCCATATCTTATCCTCAAGGCCTTTGTCTGTCTGTGTGTGCTGGGTGCATGGCTGCTTCTGCATATTTTCTGGAAACTGGAAACTGAAATTCACTAAAATGGATCTCGTCAGTTGGTCACAACGCAGTTGATAAAATTTTTTCTACGATGAGAACGGGAGAAGGGGCTCCCAGATGCCCCTCCACAACAGACCCAGTTGGACACATCACGGACTCCTGGAAACAGTGGAACTTGATGTGTTTATCTCAGCTGTCTGTGGAGGACCCTGAAGATGTGTGGATATTCGTGGTGTTGGTGTCGGGTTTCCTGCTGATTCGCATTGGAGGCTACCTGGCTTACCGGAAAATTAACGAGCTGTCGAGGAATATTGGCCTGATCCCCGAGCTCAGAGATGGATTGCACAGACACAGATTCACAGACTCATAATTGTCGAGATGAATCGTAAGCTTGGGGCTTTGGCCGAGATTCATTCATTGGCACAGAAGATGGATGCCATCAAGGATAGAGTGGACGAATCAGCACGGATTGGGATAGTTTAATGTCCATTATTGGGATTTTGAGAGGTTGAGGACCAACAAACTGTAAGACAGAGAGGAAATTATCTCTGTCTGGCCCCAAAACAATTTCTAATCGGAATCTGGCGCCCTTGAGCCTGCAAGGCTACAACGAAAACTCCCCCCTCAGAAGATATGTGGAATGTGCCATTGCTATGGCAACTCAACTCTGGCTCCTATCCCAGCCTGGGTGGGACGGCGGGAAGGCCGCTGAAACGTTCCAGGGTCACTGCAACCCTCCAACCCTCAATGCTCCTCCTCCTATCTACACTGAGATGACAAGCGCTGCTTCTATTGTGGCTGCAGGAACAGAAGTAGGGAGAGTCCCAACCCACCACCCCACCTAGTGGGCACTTATGTTGTGTTGTCTGAAGTCTTTTGCATATATGTTTGAGGTGTTTTTTTGCAGAGCAAAGCTGCCCTCCCGGTGGATGGTAACTCTGAAGTGCCTTTTGTTTCCCTCCACCTGAACCAATCCTCATGTAACCCTCTTATCTCTATTAAGGTAGCGCGAATCAGGGTTGCGAATGACCACAGTCACCAATTCTTGTCATGTGTCTTGCTCATGTATGTCTGATCTCTGAATTGTGTGTACTGAAACTCTTAATTTCCCTCTGGGATCAATAAAGTATCTTTGATTGATTTGATACTACAGTGAGGAAATCTGTGAGGGACTTCCCGTTAAGACTGCAGTCGATCAAAACTTCCGAAGGCTGTCTAAGAAATCCTCCTAGGAGTACTGACAATCTGAGTACATTAGCAGAAAACAAAATAAATAAATGCATAAAAGAATCAGCCTTACTTTGGAGAAAGGTTTGATTATTGTAAAGGCTGTTAATCAAAAGTTCAAATTTAAATTAGAACTTATGTATAAGGTGCTAATGAGATTTCAGCTGCAGTTTTAATGTCAGGTATTAAGAATCAGCCTTACTTTGGAGAAAGGTTCGTTTATTGTAAAGGCTGTTAATCAAAAGTTCAAATTTAAATTAGAACTTATGTATAAGGTGCTAATGAGATTTCAGCTGCAGTTTTAATGTCAGGTATTAAATGAGATCACTCCCAACAAGTCAAGGCAGTGTTCCATTTAACCCTCTCAGGCTCAAAATAAGTTTGATAAAAGGACAAACAACTAAGTCCTTCAGGGGTACTTCTGAGTTAAAAAATGCTCATGAAATACGTATGTGGAGTAACCAGGTAGGTAGGTTTTAACGTTGCAAATCTGCTACGCCTGCCTCCAGAGGGATAAATCTGATTCTGCTTGAAGCCTTTGTGTTGTAATGAACCAGTAGGGATTTTCTGAATGAAAAAGTTCATTTAGGACTCAAAAATATCCCTTATCATCTTCAGTTTGAAGATTATTTCTTACATAAGAGCCATCTATACTCCTGAGCCTGACAGATTTTAGTTAAAGGACATACAACACGGTCTGAGTCTGGACTGCAACTGGATTCTAAGACTAATTTAACTGGAAAATGTTAACTTGAGATGATTCTAACATAAATTTTGCCTCTAAATGCATCGATGCTATCGAAATTCAGTGTGTTAGTCAAAACTAAAGAAACAGTCGTCGTGATTTTTTGAATCCTAGGAATTCACACTGAGCAGATTAGGACTACGCTAAAAACAGTCAACCCACGGAACTATTCACTCAGTGTGTCGTAATATCATTTCAACACAGAACAAGTCACAAATAGACAAAATATTGACAGACAGGCTCGTTCTATGTTCCTACGGAGAAACGTGACGGTGAAAGAAAAAAAAGTTCAGGATGGATCTGACCGTCGAGCTCTTGACTTGGTTACTAGCTTGAGACTGACGGTTAGCCATTACCTTTTCTATCGGTGCCTGCTGGGGAGCCGCCAGCGACCGAGCCAGAGACAGGACCGTGTTGAAGTAGAAGCCCCTGCTGCCTCCTCCATACAGAGACATGTTTACTGCGGTCGGGCTGTCCTAAACAAACGCAAACATCTTCATTCATTTGACCCGACCGACGAACAGCTACAACCCTACACTGACAACTACGGAAGCCGCAGCGCCCAAAAAGCAAAGTGCAAGGTCACGAGAATGGTTCCAAGAGTTGGGTTCGGAAGTCCACTGTGGATCAGGAAACTCCAGTGTGGAGCTTCAGAGGAAATGCCAAAGGCAATTAATGATTTAAAGTATGTTACTTGTATATTTGTGCCAGAGCAGCTGCAAAAATGTAATGTAATGGCTTTTGCAGTTTAGGTTAAATAATGTCTGTAATGTATTTGGTAGCTATTGGGGTTGTAAAAAAGTACTGCTTACATTAGTATGTGAATGAGCTAAACAATGTAGACCCTGACTTACATTTCTTTAACAAAATCTCTCATAGCTGTAAATATTATCAAGAAGAACAATTGAAGGTATTGATAAAATCAGATAACATGTCTATATTACAGATAAATTGCAGGAGCCTCTATGCAATTTTTGATAACTTTAAAGAATATTTGAATACATTAGATATAAACTTAAAAAAATAGCACTCTCTGAGACATGGATAAAGGAAAATACATATGGGGATTTTAAATTAAATAATTACCAGATGTACAATCAAAATAGAAACCACAAACTCGGAGGGGGAGTTGCCCTGTATGTGCATACAGATTTGGATGCAAAATTGGTGGAAAGCATGACTACAACTGTGAATAATCTGTTTGAATGTGTAACAGTTGAAATCGTTATGGATAAAAGGAAAAATGTTCTTATATCTTGTATGTACAAAGCTCCAGGTACTGACATGGAAGTCTTCATTAACTATATAGAGAGGTTTAAAAAAAAGCCAACAACAAAGACATATTTATTTGTGGGGACTTTAATTCTGATCTATTGAAATCAAAATTACACAGACCTACAGAACAATTCATAAATGCCATGTACAGTCTTTCATTATTCCCAGTGATCAGTCGTCCAACCAGGGTCACAGCATATTCCTCTACTTTAAATGATGATATTTTTTACAAATGTTATGAATACCAGCATATCAAGTGGACTACTTATTAATGATATCAGTGACCACTTGCCAATTTTTATATCTCTAGAATACAGCACAAACACAGAAAATAGAAGCAATACTGTAAGAAAGAAAAGCAGACTGGAATCTGAACTTTCAATAAGTGCTCTTAACAAAAGCCTTTCGGAACAAGACTGGAACAATGTTCTTGGAGAAAATAATGTAAATGAAATGTATAAAAACTTTGTTGACATATTTAAAGAACTATATGACAAACATTGTCCAGTTGCAACCTGTACATATACACATATAAAAAGAATTAGTCCATGGGTGAAAAAAGGGTTATTGAAAGCCTGCAAAAAGAAAAATACCTTGTATAAAAAACATATGAGGAAGAGAACATTTGAATCTGAAACCAAATATAAAAAATGTTAAAAAAAATTAATAACTATAATAAAACAATGTAAAAAAATTATTACAGAAATTTGATTAAAATAAATAAAAATAATATGAATGGACTATGGACTGTGCTAAATCAAGCCATTAATAAGGATTTTAACAGAGCTGTTTTCCAAGATTTTATAATTGACAGTGAAAAAACAACAAACATGAACACTATTGTTAATACCTTTAATGACTATTTTGTCAACATCGGACCACAACTTGCCTAATCATTTAGTGATGTTGACAGTACGAGTACATATAACAATGCACACTCTTTATTTCTATCACCAACAAATGAAAATGAAATAATCAAAATAGTTAATAATTGTAAAAATAAAAAGTCTTCTAATTGTGATGATCTTGACATGACTATAATAAAACAGGTAATACTTAATATGGCAACACCTTTAACCCATATCTGCAATTTATCTTTTGTAAGCCGAGAGTTTCCCAAACTGATGAAAACAGCAAAAGTCACTCCAATCTATAAAAGTGGAGAAAAACATCAGATCACTATCGGCCGATCTCTATACTTCCTCAGTTATCAAAGGTATTGGAAAAACTGTATGTGGAACGCATGAACGGTTTCATTGAAAAATACAACTTACTCAATAATAGTCAATATGGATTTAGACAAAATAGATCAACTGCTCTTGCACTGATCTCATAGAAGAGGTAACCGAAAAAATTGATTGTAAAATGTATTCTATTGGCATATTTATAGACCTCCAAAAGACCTTGGATACAGTAGACCATGAAATACTTTTAAATAAATTACAACAAAATGGGATTGGGGGATTGCATATAACTGGGTGAAATCTTACTTAACTGACAGACAGCAATACGTACAGATAAATGATTACAGGTCAAGACTCAGAAATACAAATTGTGGAGTCCCTCAAGGTTCAGTCTTAGGACCAATATGGTTTATTCTATATATAAATGATATATGCAGGGTATCATCAAAACTCAAAATCATCTTATTTACTGATGACACTACAATATTATGTTCAGGTAAAGATCTACAGTTACTTGTGACAGAGATGACAGCAGAATTAGAAAAACTTAAAGACTGGTTTAACAAAAACAAATTGTCTTTAAATATTTTAAAAACAATAATGATGCTGTTTGGTAAACAAACTAAAGACATTGAAATCAGAATCAAAATGGACAACAATGAAATAGAAAAGGTAAATGAATATTGATTTCTGAGCGTGATACTTACTCACAATTTCAGCTGGAGATCTCATATACATAGCATACAAAAGAAATTGGCAAAGAACATTGCAATTATGAGAAAATGTAAATTCCTTCTGGACCACAAAGCTCTAAATCTTGTATTACACATTTTTTCTCCCCTATCTTAGCTACTGCGCAGAGGTCTGGGGTAATACCTACAGTAGCCATTTGGAGGCAGTATTTAGACTTAAAAAATCTATTAGGATTGTACATACTGTTGGTTTCACAGACCTTACAAATACACTTTTCATGAAGTCTAAAATCTTAAAACTTGAAGATCTAGTTAACCTAAAGTCAATGCTAATTTTGTACAAAGCAAGACAGAATCAATTCCCAATCAATATTCAACAGCTGTTTTTTGATAGAGAGGGTGGATACGATTTGCGGGGATCAAATAATTTCAAGGTGGTGTGCGCCCGCACAACCCTCAAAATTCACTGTATATCCAGAAGAGGTGTTAAGCTTTGGAATAGTTTAGATGACAACTTACAGAGTGCTTCTAGTCTACTACTATTTAAAAGACAATATAAGATGAGTGTTATTGAGAAATATGTTGAGAATATGTGATGGAAAAGCTTCTTGGTTTTATTCTGACTATGTGTTGTTATATAAAAGAACAGCACAAAATATAAAATTGAATAACAAAATATGCATGAAAAGTTCATTAACAAAACATTTACTGTCAAAAAGTCTAATATTGTAAATAGTATAATATTGTAATGTGGGGTAGGTGCACATAAGCTTCTTTGCTTCAGCCTACTCCATTTGAGCATTGTTGTTGTAATGTTGTGAAATTTGAAAGAATACAACAAATGTAATTGCTCAATGAATGTGCTAAATAAAATAAAAATAAATAAAATGTAGAGAGTAATCACAGGAATAATCAAGTACTGGGTGATTCATACAGGGCCAGTACAAGTACATGGTAAGTACAGGGTACAAATACTCATCGAGGTACTCAGGTACACAGGAAACTAATTATACCAAAGTAGAGGAATACTTAATGGATAAGTACAGAGGCATTTCTAGGGTACGCACAGCAAGCACATGGGGATACTTATTCATGTGTAATTGTGCACACGATAGCTCATATAGAAGAAGAAGAAACGATCATTTATATAGCGCCTCTGAAGATAAAAATCACGAGCAAGGACATCAAATTCAAACTAAACAAATAAAAGAAATAAACTTAAAAACAATTAAAAAAAACATCATAAAAATGGGAGAAATAAAAATTATGATAAAAATGTAAGGAAAGGAAAACTGTAATGGCCGAGAGGTAGCTGAGTCAGGTCCTAGATTTCAAACTGTCTTAAAAAGAACTCAAAAAGTTAGTCAGATCATTAAAATTAAATATTTTAGTAAACCGTTGGATTTTATTATTAGGGTGTTATTTGTGCTGGTCAGGCTTCTAATAAAAAATCAATGAAAATACACAAAAAACTCAGGTTTTAATAATATTTTTTGTGCAAATGAAAATAATCTGATCAACTGATGTGTTTTTATTCTCAACAGTGGTTGACAGTGGTCTACAGTTTAGAAAACTATCATATTGTCTTTTACCAGGCCACTATGTTTTAACCAAACCACCTTTTATACATTCAAGAACACATTGATTTAAAAAAATCTTCAAAGTATTTGTTCATTTGTTCACCTTCTTAACTACTTCTTCTTGCATGTGCAAGGTTGTGGCAAGCCGATGCCTCTAGGTGGGGTTCACCTTGTTCCCAATCCATCACAGGACTCTTAACCAGGTATTGTCTATAATTTGGGGGTCATATGCAGAATCTAATATAACAGATGTGTGCGTTCTGTCTTTCCATTCAGTTGGTTCCTCACTGACGCTTCTTCTGAAAAATAAATAATGGAAGAAAGAAGCAAGTAACTTTTTTCCTTTTGATAAATGAAGCATTTGTAATTAGAGCTGCATGATGAAAATTTGTGGATTTCCTAGTTTGAAACTCAGTGCTGTTAAAGACCCTGTTGAATTGTATCGTAAACATCTTTATCGAAAACTTGAGAAACATTTATTATACAAAACGTTTGCCAAATTTTGTCAAGCCTGTGTTGAAAACTCAAGTCAGTCAAACCAAATATACACTTTTGGATTTATTAAACTCTAAACACTAAAATCCATTTCTTAAATTGTTTCACATTCTTATTAAATTTTCCACAAGTTAACTATTTCTCATTCTCTGGCCAAAAAAAGAAGGGAAAAGAATGGTATTAAAAACTTTTCCATATTTAAAATAATATTGTACAATACAAAATAATTTGGAAAACAACTTTATTATAATAAATGCATCCAGCAGTACAATAAATTCATTTTACTGAGGCCAGCCATTTAAGTAAAAACATCTTATATCTGTATGTATTTTCTCATGAAGACGTTTGTCATCATGTCCCGTTTTCACTGAAACTTACTGTGTTAAAATAAACAAAACATGTCTCTGCTCAGCAGAGGCTCCTCGTTCACCTGACAGATCCAACGTTAAAAATGTTTTTTGTGTTTAGAGGATATTTTTCTTCTGCAAGCTTCATTCACAAACGTCTATTAAGAACTCTTATCAGTGTGTATTTAAAGCTTTTGGTTAGTGAGTTAGATGGCGACATGTGTGGTAATCAATCAATAGTGTATTCAAAATGATATTCTTGTGTGGGCTCTGAGTCCATGTTGATGCTGTCAAACAGGTTCTCTGTCCAGCTCTCCACGGGGAACCAGGAGTCATACCAGGGGGTGGTTTTCTCAGTTTCAGGTGGTTTTGTGGTTGTTGTGGTTGTGGTTGTGGTGGTGGTGGTGGTGGTAAAGGTTCTCATTCTGGCTTGTGATCTCTGCCTTTGCAGTCTGCGTGAACGCATGAGTCGTAGTCGCCTGAGTCGCTCTGCATTCTGAGCTTTGGCGTGAGTTTCCATCCCTATGGTGGTGCTATCTGCCATTAGAGTTGATGCAGTCGTCTTCACAATGGTTTTGGGGACGAGTGGAATGGGCTTGTTCCCGTTGAGAGCCATGATTTGTTTGATGCGGTCCCAGTTGGATTTTGGTAGTTTGAAGTTGCAGGAAGTGGCTCCAGTGTCATAACCCACCATGCAGAGACGTGTCTGGGGTGTGTAGCCATCTGCTTTGGCGGTCACCTTGTACTCGCCAGGATTCAGCAGCCGCCAGTAATCGCCTCCAACAGCTAAAACAAACAGTCAGAGGAGGTCACTGGTTAGACTGAAAAGCTGCAGAAAACATAAATATATAATTGTCTCCACATCATACCAGTCTTGACATCATGCCTTATTCCCTCAACTGACACGGTGGCATTAGGCAGCGGATTTCCCTCCACATCTCTCACTACACCTTTTATTCCTCGATGAACCTGCAGGGAAAGCACCTCAAACCTCAGCAGGAGTCAGACTTCAATGAAATTACCAAACATTTTTAAAATCAGAGAGTCTTTAAAGGTGTAATATGTAAGAATAATGTAAGAATGACATTCTGTGGTCAAATTAGGTAACTACCATCCATTTTCCTAATTAAAAAAAAATACCACGTTCTCACTGCTGCTCAGTGAGATTCTTGGATGTTGCCAGTTACAGATCAGCACCAGAATATTCTAGATGACAAGCAAAGACTAGTCATACACAGTAAGTTGATAATAAATACATTGTCATATCTGGCGTTAGCACTAGTGTATTTATGGTACGGAGCAGTTACTACATTTATTATGATAATATTTCTACTGAATTACAGGAAGAGTTGTTTTCTGTCTTACTGTTAGCTTGCTCTTATAGTTCTAAACGACTCATTAAACTAAGTAAAATGCTACAGTTGACTCATTATTCACTTCATTCACTTCACACATACATTCCAATGTAATATTGAGATGTTGGCAATTGAAAAAGTGGCCTGAGCTATTTGTAGAGCTGATTACTTGCTTTTTAGTCTAAGCATTGTTATTTCAACGTTGTCCTCTAGCTTGCTATCACAGTTTAAATGAGCTAATAAAAATCCAGAGGAAGTTTAAAGGGCAATAAGGATGGGGCAACTAGCAACAACAAAAGAGCAGTTTTTTAAGAGAGTAATCTTTTTTTTCTGTGTCCTCTCTGGCTGTGAAGCAAACAGAATTAATGTCTGAATGCTGATGACAAGCCTGGGCTCGACACATGGGAGGCGACAAACGACCGCGATCAGTGAAATTCCACAAAAATAAACAATCAATGATGAAGACTCTGCTTCTAGACCTGCAGAAGGAGGAAAAAAAGAAAAGGGACACACAACAATACAGCGGGAGCAAACTATCACTGTGTCAGCCTGATGCGGAAATATAAAATCAACATTGTTTTACTGAGCAATCACGATAATAAATCAAAGTGCATTAAGTGCCAACCACAGCCTTCAGACATGTGCTGAACGTGCCCAAGTCCATACTTATGAGAGCACCATGTGAGCACCTGTGTGTGTACACACACTTGCAGGGGCGTGTCCGGTGGGTGGCCTGGGGTAGCACATGCCACCCTTGGAATCTAATTGGCCACCCCAGGTGCCACCACACTAATTTATCTTTTTTTTTTTTTTTTTTTCTACCGTGTCCTGTCTGGCTGTGAAGCAAGCAGAATTGATGTCTGAATGCTGGTGACAAGCCTTACAGATTTATTCTCAGGTGGAGCATCAAAGCGTTTGCTTTTAATGTCACGCCTGATACTTAAAACTTTATTGTTATTGTTGTTGAATGCTTTGTAATTCCGACCAGACACGGAGACAGAGGTGAAAGAGAGAGGAAAAGAAAAGGTGGGGAGAGAGAAAGAGAGAGAGAGAGAGAGGGGGGGGGGGGTGTTCCACAAAAATAAACAATAATGAACAAGAGTCTGCTTCTAGACCTGCAGAAAAAAGACAAAAAAAAACAAAGGGACACAAAAAAGGGACACAACAACAATACAACAAGATCTACCTATCACTGCGTCAACTTGATGAAAAGAAAAAAAATATATATATATAATCAACATTGCTTAACTGAAGAATCACGATAATAAATCACAACGCATTAAGTGCCCACCATAGTCTTAAGACCTGTGTTTAACGTGCCCAAGCCCATACTTTTGAGAGCACCATGTGAGCACCTGTGTGTGTACACGCGCTTGTTTATGTAAGGTTTCTCTATAGGAGCGTCCAACAGAGAGTGTGAGGGACCACAGATCTGCCCCCCAAAGATGCGCAGGAGACGGGGGGAGCTCCAAGTCCCAGAGATCCAGGCGCTGCCCCAGAACGCAGGAACCCCAAGGAGACTGCAACCAGGAAGGCCCCCGCCCCCCTCGAGAGGCACAGAGGATCGCCCCGGGGGGCCACAACCAGCAGCCGGCAGAGTCCCCAGAGATATCAGCGGCAAGCCCACAGGCCCGCCTGCAGCCTCCCACCCCCTAGCCGGCCGAGCCCGGGACCCAGCGACCCGGGACCCAGGGGCGACCACCCCCGCCGGGGACCCAGCAGAGCCCAGGGACCCAGACCCCACCAGGCAGCCACTGGGTTCTAACAGGCAGATGCCAAAATCTTAAACCCCCAGACCCGGTTGCCACGAACACTCAGGCAGACCAAGGCACAAGCCCCCACACCAGGTGTGGCAGGGGGAGGGGGGACAGAGATCTATATCATCAAGAGAAGTTCCAGGAGAGGGGAGGACCCAAAGGCCCCACCTGACATATACAGTCATACACAAACACAGTCACACGCTCCCTCCCTCATGCTCACACATGCACATACAACCCAAGACTTACAAAAATGCACGCCGGACACCCACTCATGCTCCCCATACACACCCTATTCACTCTGGTCCCGGTACTGCTGCACATTGGGTACAACCATCACCGGTAACCAGAGTTTGACCCTTTCTGCTGGGGTGCTGATGAGCAGGCTCCCCCGCCCAACGCTGAGCACAGCAACCCACCACCCCAGACCCCAACCAGACGGCCAGATCTCCCTCCTAGCCTCCAGCCCCAGGAAGCCAAGCAACAACAGAGGTGGCTAAGACCCCTAGTCTCCCTCCGCCTGCTCCAATATAGTGTTGTGTGATCATGAGGTGTATGCCATGGCTGTGGTGAGTGGGCAGTGCGGGCATCATCCAGCATATGCCAGCTGATGCCACCGCACCACCCCACTTACACCCTCAGCCATCAGTGTCTAAGTGCGGTTTAAAATTGGAAGTGGGCACCGGCACTCGGGAGGAGGCTGAAATATCCCCCTGCCAAATGCCGTTGAATGTGCTCACTCCCAAGGCCCTAAGTGTGTGTTTGTGTGGAATGTCGTCAGTGGAAGTGTATAAGGTGCAAATAAAATTGGGGGGCAGGTTTCCACAGGAATGCGGAAATGGGGTCCATACCCGCACTCCCTGACTTGCCCACCCCCCAAGGTCCTATGTGTATGTTTGTGTGATGATGTGAGGGAGCAGGAGGAGAGAAATATGCGGGGATGGGGAGGAATGGATGGTTGGGCTTAGCCCTCCAGGGAGCCAGCTCCCCTACTGGCCCCAATAGGCACCTCTGTTGTCAAACTGCCACCCAGGGCATGGAGACCCCAGCCCATCCTGCCAGGGCCCAAAGCAGCAGCATTACAGAGCCTCACGGAGTCCGAGGGCACCAACCCAGCCCCACCCCAGCAGAATATCTATGCCCACCCCTGCATTTGCACAACTTCCAGAATATATAAGACATGGGACATCCAGGTAAGGTTGGGTCCTCCCCCTCCTGGACCTCCCCCTCCCCTGTGATGGAACGGCAGAGGAGCCAAGGCCTACCTGAGGCCCCCGAACCCGGGCCAGGCACTGCTGGGTGTCCCTGCCTTCTTCCCGGCAGCATACATGTCAGGACCTGACCCCCAAGGCCCCGCCCAGATCCCCACACGGGGCCGGCCACCCCCAAACCCCGAGCCCCCAGGCCCCCACCCAGACCCGCCCAGGGGCATTGCAGCCACCAGGCAGTGACCCATGGCCGCCGCCAAGAACCCCAAGAGGCCCTACTCACAACCGCCAGCAGTCCACCCCCCGAGGCAACCCAAGCACCTCCAGAGGGGGGCAACGGCCCCCCAGTCCCAGACACCCCCAGTGAACCCACCTCCAGGGAACATCCGGATACTCCAAACTCAGACCCCACACCCCCCCACCCACACCATCCTGCAGGACAACATCAACGGCCCCCCACCCTCGCTATGTGATGGAACCGATCAAAGGAGCCCAGAGAGATTCATCTGAAGTGGAAGCAGAGGCTATATCAAGTGCAATATGATCTAACAAAAGATTTCTATACTGGTTAATGCAGAGACTTTCTCTATTTTTCCAATTCAAGAGGATAGTTTTCTTAGCGATGCATATGGCAGTCAGAACCACGTGAACCAAAGATGTTGCAATCGGGACATCGTCCAGCTTCCCCAGTAAACAAAGAGAGGGGGAAGTTGGGATATGACATTTCAGACATTTTGACAGATCCTCACATACTCTACCCCAAAATTCCTGGACAGGTGGGCAGGACCAGTGCATGAATGTAATTGTCAGGAATGTTGTTTGTGCAGTGTGTACAGGTGTCAGACGACACAAACCCCATCTTGAACATCCGATGACCTGTATAGTGTACTCTGTGTAGAATTTTGTACTGAATTAATTGTAAATTGGGGTGTCTGATCATTTTAAAAGTTTTTAAACAAGTTTGGGACCAGAAGTCCTGGTCAAAGCTAACTGATAGATCCACCTCCCATTTTTCAATAGGGATTGCAATTTTATCGTCTATTTTGGACAGTGTCTTATATACTTTAGACAGTAGTTTTGGGGGTTTGAGATTATAAAAGTCTAATACCCTTGGTGGTGTTTGCAATTCTATTTTATTGAGCTTAAATTTTTGTTTGACTACAGATTTAATTTGGTGATATTCTAAAAAGCTATTCTTATCCATTCCAAATTGGGAGACTATTTGATTAAATGGGATGAAGTCCAATCCTTCATATATGTGTTCCAGGTATAGGATTCCTTGATTTTTCCAGTCCGGAAGGTTCATCATTTTGTTGTTTTGCAAAATGTCAGGATTATTCCAGATAGGTGTGCGTCTGCATGGTACTAGTGAAGACTCTGTCATTTTAAGATACTCCCACCATGCTGTCAGAGAGCATTTATCTTTAAATGGGCTTTTTATTGTCCACAAAAGGCTTGGGTGTAAAACAAAAAAAAAAGCATAACCATTGGTGCCACCCATGCACAAAGTTGTGCCTCACCTGGGCCACCCTATTTTAAAAGATCTGGACACGCCACTGCACACTTGTATATGTAAGGTTTCTCTATAGGAGCGTCCAATAGAGAGTGTGAGGGGCCACAGATCTGCCCCCCCAAAGATGTGTAGGAGATGGAAGGAACTCCAAGTCTCAGAGATCCAGGAGCTGCCCCAGAGCGCAGGAACCTCAGCGAGAATGCGACCAGAAAAGCCCCTACCCCCCTCGAGAGGCGCAGAGGATTGCCCGGGGGGGGGGGGGGGGGGAGGGGGGGGGGGGGTGTCACAACCAGCAGCCGGCAGAGTACTGGGGGATATCAGCGGCAAGCCCACAGGCCCGCCCGCAGCCTCCCACCCCCAAGCCGGCTGAGCTCAGAACCCAGCGACCCGGGACTCAGGGGGGAGCAGCCCTGCCGGGGACCCAACAGAGCCCAGGGACCCAGATCCCATCAGCCAGCCACCGGGATTAATCAGGCAGATGCCAAAAATCTTAAACCCCCTGACCCGAGAGGCGCGAACACTCAGACCAAGGCACCACACTCCACACCAAGTGTGGCAGGGGGAGGGGAGGCGAAGATGTATAGCATCAAAAGAAGTCCCAGGAGCGGGGAGGAGTCAAAGGTCCCACCTGACATAAACAGTCATACACAAACACAGTCACACACTCCCTCCCTCATACTCACACATACACATACAACCTAAGACTTACAAAAATGCATGCCAGACACCCACTCATGCTCCCCATACACACCCTATTCACTTTGGTTCCGGTACTGCTGCACAAAGGGTACAACCAATACTGGTTCCCAGAGTTCGACCCTTTCTGCTGGGGTGCTGATGAGCAGGCTCCCCTGCCCAACACCGAGCAAAGTGACCCACCACCCCAGACCCCAGCCAGACGGCTAGATCCTCCTCCTAGCCTCCAGCCCCAGGAAGCCAAGTGACAACAGAGGTGTGCTAAGACCCCTAGTCTACCTCCACCTGCTCCAGTACAGTGTTGGTGCATGTTGATGAGGTGTATTCGTGGCTGTGGTGAGCGGGCAGTGCAGACATCGTCTGGCCTACGCCAGCTGATGCCACCACACCACCCCTCTTCCCCCCACAGCCCTCTGTGTCTAAGTGCAGTTTAAAATTGGAAGTGGGCACCGGCACTCGGGATGAGGCTGAAAGATCCCCTTGCCAAATGCCGTTGAATGTGCTCACTCCCAAGGCCCTAAGTGTGTGTTTGCGTGGAATGTCGTTGGTTGAAGAGTGGTTTAAGAGAGTAATCTACGGTTTTCCATATGCTTCAAGATCAATTTTAAGGTTCTCTTAATGGTTTTTAAGTGTCTTATTGGTCTTGGGCCCTCCTACTTCTCAGACCTAATATTACCATATGTACCCTCGCGGCCTCATGCGCTCCTCTGGCAGCCGTCTCCTGGTTATCCCTAAAGTCAGGACTCATACTCACGGCGAGGCGTCTTTCCAGTATCATGGCCCTTGCCTGTTCCAGAGGCTGCCAGAGGACCTCAGGGCGGCAGAAAATGTCCATGTTTTGAAGAACAGGCTCAAAACTCATATTTTTAGCTCAGCTTTTAACTGATTATTTACTATAGTAGAGTACTTGCTTTGCATGCATATTTGAATTGATTACATTTAATCACAGTTTTATTCTACATTTATATAAATTTAAATTTATAACATTTTAATTAATTGTTAATTATTTACTTTTAACTTAGCTTTTAGTTGATTATTATTTATCATAATAGATTATTTACTCAGCATATTTTAATTGATTATATTTTACCACAATTTAATTCAACATCTATATTATTTTAATAATTATTAAATGTAAATTATTTATGTATTTATTTACATTTACTATTATATTAGCTTCTGTTAGTTTTATATTTAATAAAATGTGGGCAACTGTGGCACAGGAGTTTAGTGCTCACCCCGTAATTGAAAGGCTGTAGGTTCGAGCCCTGCTCAGTCTGTCGCTGTTGTTGTGTCCTTGGGCAAGACACCTAACCCAGCTTGCCTGCTGGGTGGTGTTTGGAGAGACCAGTGGCGCCTGTGTGCGGCAACCTCGCCTCTGTAAGTGCACCCCAGGGCAGCTGTGGCTACATTGTAGCTCATCATCACCAGCGTGTGAATGGGTGAATGACTGATTGTGTTGTAAAGCGCCTTGGGGGCTCCCAGGACTCTAGAAGGTGCTATTTCAAATACAGGCCATTTACCATTAATCTTATATTAATCTTTCTTCTAGTGTTTCCGCCGTGGGGGCCCTCTGCCTCTGGATCGGTGGTCAAATGTTGCTGCCTCTCCGGGTTGTGCGTGGGGCTAGGTGGGGCCTATGCCCTCCCTCCCCTCTGCACCCGGTGTTGGAGGTTCTGCTGCTGTGGTTGGCCTGCTGCTGGGGCAGATGGCTCCTGTGATGGCATTTCCTTGTCCTATCATATCTGGATCATCTGAATTCAGCCCAATATAATTTTTACTGATGTTCTTCAATGCATATGTGTACAGGAGTTGGGGGGTGGGGTATGGTATGACTGTGCCAATGCTTTTAGATCGTCTGAGAGGTGTAGGAATGGGGGTTATGTAGGGACATTTTAATCTGTAAAATAATTTGAGTAGCATTTTTGTAGGAAAAGCCCTTTATAAATAATGATTGGTTGATTGATTGACTGACTGACTGACTGACTGATTGATTGGTTGATTGATTGAAAATATGTGGGAACCACTGGTCCATCCTAAAAAAATACAATCTATCCAGGAAAGGTTACAAAAGAGTTAAGCACTGCTGTCTTGAGCCAGGTCTCTGATATGACTAAAACTTCAGGGTTGGCTACCTAAACATTTATTTTCATTTTATCCATCTTGGGGAGGAGGTTTCTAATATTTAAATGCAAAAATCCCAAACATTTGTGACTGAAATCTTCTGACTTTGCGTTTCCTTCCTGGCATGGTATGAAACCACAGTGAAGATGATTGTTCTTTTCCCAACTATATCCCCCCCAAAAAAACCTTATCAGACTAAAACATCATTTATAATCATCATAATTCTTTCAGATCCTGCATCATATTCAATAAATGACAGATTGTCAAATAACATGAAGTAGATAGCTTACAAAGATCTACAAAATGAGGATAAATGATAAATGACCCGCACTTGTATAGCGCTTCTCAGAGTAAGGACCCCAAAGCGCTTTACACTACAGTGTATCATTCATCCATTCACACACACATTCACACACTGATGGTGATGAGCTACGATGTAGCCACAGCTGCCCTGGGGCGCACTGACAGAGGCGAGGCTGCCGAGCCTCGGCGCCACCAGTCCCTCCGACCATCACCAGCAGGCAAGGTGGGTTAAATGCCTTGCCCAAGGACACAACAGCAGAATTCTCTGTCTGAAGCTGGGATCAAACCTGCAACCTTGCGATTACTGGAAAACCTGCTCAACCTGTTGAGTTACTGCTGCCCCAAAGTTAGCAAGGGTACTGAGACACTGTTTTGGTACTCCTGTTTTGGGTAGTACCAGCCTTCCCAGTGATTTCTTGTGATTTCTTGTAGCTCTTGAGAAACTTTTTTCTCTTAGAAGATTTTTTTGTTTGAGATTGATCTCCTGTGTTTTTTTGGATTACTCACCCCTCGACTGATCTGCAGCTCCCTGTACTCCTGTGATTGCAGTTAACTTCCTTGTGCTCTCCCAGGTGATTCATCACAGCTCACCGTTCCCTGCCATTGTCTGGACCCTCTCCAAACTCTGCACCACCAGGCTGTCTGCTCTCCACCACTCACCAGCCCCCCTTCCTGGAAAAGCCCCTGTGTGATCCTCGTGTCTCCTCTCTCCCCTACCTCCATCATCTCCTGGACTCCCTTTCTCCTTCACGCCTGACATCTCCCCCTGAACTCTCCTCTCTCCTGTGAAAGAGTAAGGACCATTTCTGCTCCACCACCTGATCACCATTTCCTGCAAATACTTATCCAGTTCTGTTTTACAGAGGATTCCCCCGGTCATCCTGCCTACTGTTTGTGCAGTGCTTTTAGTTCCTCCTTTAATAAATACCTTTTGTTGTTACGATTCCTGAGTCCGTTGCATGATTCTGCATGTCGTGGGTCAGAAAACTATCCCACATCATGACAACCACTGTGTGTGTTTTTCATTTTAACTGTTGATCCTATTTGAAACAACCCTATAGATTACAAATTTACCTAAAATATCCTCTTGTTTGATTAGAACCACCTATATTAACTTTCATGATTATCAATATAAACTGTATGAAAAAATATTTCTGGGCACTTGAAAATACTCAATCTCTTCTTAAAGTTGCTAATCCACTACAGCAGGAACATTTGTGATCATTTACATCCTGATAATTTCCCTCTGGGATTAATGAAGTATCTTTGAATTTGATTTTGAATACACAAAATCTTCAAGCTATCTTTTAGTCTTGTTCTTACTTGTTCCATGAAGGACAGCAGAGCTTCTCGATTGTTCTCCCACTCCAAAGGCAACTCACTTTCATGGGGAAACTTGTCACAGCCAAGGAAGATGGACAGCTCAAAGCAGTTAGTGTGCAGGTAGCTGAAGTCATTCATACCTATAAGAGAATGGTTGAGCTTCTCAGATTATAGATGCTCATTCTCATTAGATTAAGTGTAATTGGATAGGTATTTTTGCCCAGATGTTGAAAAATATGCCAGATAACATCTAGAAAATTCTCAAGTGATCTGTACGATTCCAAAAATCCCATCCTCTGCAGCATCTCAGTAGAATAGTGTCTTTAAAACTCCCTAAAGTTGTCTGGGAATAGGCTGGTTCTGACAAAGCAGGTGAAAACCTAGTCTAATGATTACTTACTGCCCACCACTGGATTCCAGCTGGCTCTGTTGGTAATGCCTTGGCCCCCAGTGACATCATCACCATGGCAAGAACCTCTGTAGGTCTCTGTCATGGTCAGGTGGCTGTGGGCGTATGACATGGCCAACCAGCGAAACATGGCGTCATCAGGAGTCTCCCTCAGAGCTCCTTCATTCTGTCGCTGAATTCGAGCCCAGGTCTCCTCGCTCATCTCAGAGTTAACTCTCCACCGCCGGCTATCAGTTAACTTGCACACCAAGACAACAGGTGGTTAGAATGAACATACAGCATAGTAACTGTGCATAAATTGTGTTTATTACAAGAGCCTTACAGAAATAGGTGGACGCTGCATGTCAAAAGGGTAAACCACCATTTTTTCTCCTCCTTGCAGATTAGCCCCAAGTACAAATGGGTTTCGCTCCATCCAGGTAATTAAAGATTTTGTTTCGACTGCAAGCTAAGAGAAGCAACAGATGGATGAGTGCTAAAACCTAAACACATTAGTACAGGATTACCAGAAGAAACCTGCCCCTTGGTGTTGCTAAACAACTCACTGTACTATTCAGGACATTTTCTGGAAGAGGAATGTGATGGTTGGGGACAATGCGAGGAACCCAGCCTCGGTCTTCAGCTCCCCACAAGATGCTGTTCAGATCTGGGAAATTTTGGAAGATGTCATAACCTTCGTCAGTCCAGTGGCCCAGAGCCCAGTTGCCCATTTCTGAGCCCTGCAGGGCAGAAGAGGGAAAGGAGGAATAATTACATATTGATTAGAATAGAAAAGAATATTCTTTTATCGACCGTCAGTGGGGAAATGTTGGTGTGACAGCAGCAAATTAGATTCACAACAGGAACAAAGAGTAAAAGACAGTATGCTGGTGAAGGTTCTCAGCCATCCGGGTCATGAAAATCCAAAAGGGTTCAAATGAGGGCAACTGGACTTATTTGGTTTCTTGAAGACGTTTCGCTTCTCATCCGAGAATCTTTGTCAATTCTGACTGGAATGTGGGAGTCCAGCTTATAAAATGTAGCTGTCTGTTGTAATTTAACGAACTCTCTACCACTCTACCCTTTGAATAAAAGACAGTGAAGAAAAAACTGAACAAAACTTATTCAGAAATTACTTAAACATTCAAATTGCATTAGTTGTTGTGGTAATCATACTTATTCCTTAATTTGATTTTCAAATGAAAATATAACCTTGTATAAAGGCTCCCATTCTGGTAAAGGTATAAGCCCCATTACTTCCATAGCTCGATTTAGATGCACTTGCAAACACACTAACTGACAACATAGTATTTATTTTAGTATTTAGTTGTAATGTACACAAGCAAAGCAAAATGACAGTCATCATCATGCAGTGACTATGGGAGCACTGTACCATCTCAAAGGCCAGTTCATAGGCATCAGGGTTCAGTGAGGGCACCAGGTGGATCCTCACTCCGTCCACCAGGCGGCGCACCCTTGGGTTGTCATCATTATACTCTTTGCACAGGAACTGCATCAGCAGCAGGAGGAGCTCGCGACCCAGAGCCTCGTTACCATGGAGACCAGCTGTGTAGCGAAATTCTGGCTCACCTGAAGAGAATTAAAAGCCTTTTATTCAGATTTGAATCAAAATGTTTGTAGACTCTAAAACAGTTTTTCAAGTAAAAAACTAATCTTGATCAGACTTGTGTGAATTCATTACTGGTTCTAAAGTAAAATTCCTCCCAGTAAAATGGTCAAAACTGAAAGAGTTTTGCTGAAGTGAATTCTGTGAAATGAACGTTCCCACCTGTCTCATGTTCTCCTGGCTTATCAGAGATCTCCATGGCATACATTTTCAGGCCCTGGGAGCTTTTACCGATGTTGTAGATCCTAGTGATGTTGGGACACTCCTCATTTATCACCTTCATCATCTGAGAAAGGAAAATCTCATTTAGACATTTTGTTGATAGAAGTTGTTTATCCATCATCCATCCATACATCCTTTTGCTGCTGCTTATCCGGGGCTGGGTCACGGGGCATAGCCTAAGCAACCCAGCCACTCGGACCAGTTCCTCCGAGGGAATCTTATGGGCCATTCCCATCTGTACCGGGTCGGCCCGGGCCGGGTAGCCCCAGTCGGCCCCAGCCTGGCCCAGTTGATTCCACACATCCTTGTCTTAAGCCCATGTGGGCTGATTCTACCCACCAATCAGAGGCTTGCTCTAATGGAAGGTGTGAATTTGCTGTCAGCAGTGGGTGTGTTGGCCCTGGTCGGCCTGAAGCAGACCCCCTCGAGAAGAGGGCTGAGAATGAGCCTTGGTTGGCCCGGAAAAATACCAGGCCACCCAGATATGTAAACAACCTACGCTACCCGGCCCGACCCTGTATAGATGGGAATGGCCCATTAAGGCGTTCCCTGACCAGCTGTGAGACATAGTCTCTCCAGCGTGTCCTGGGTCTTCCTTTAGGCTTCCTCCCGGTTGGACATTTCCCGGAAAACCTCACCAGGGAGGCGTTCAGGAGGCATCCTAACCAGATGCCCGAGCCACCTCAACTGGCTCCTCTCGATGTGGAGGAGCAGCGGGTTTACTCCGAGCCCCTCCCGGATGACCGAACTTCTCACCCTATCTCCAAGGGAGAGCCCAGCCACCCTGCAGAGAAAACTCATTTTGGCCGCTTGTATCCGTGATCTCGTCCTTTTGGTCGCTACCCAAAGCTCGTGACCATAAGTGAGGGTAGGAATGTAGATCAACTGGTAAATCAAAAGCTTTGCCTTCTGGCTCAGCTCTCTCTTCACCACAACAGATCGGTACAGCGCCCGCATCACTGCAGATGCAGCACCAATCTGCCTGTCGATTTCACGCTCCATCTTTCCCTCACTTGTGAACAAGACCCCAAGATACTTCAACTCCTCCACTTGGGGCAGGACCTCATCCCTGACCAGGAGAAGACATTCTACCCTTTTCCAGAAGTTGTTTATAAAAATTTTAATTTGTGCAATAACACAAAAGAACCTGTCTCATGTCCTTGTAGTTGTGATGTTTGAAGTCCAGGTCATCAGAAGGGTTGACCTCATTCTCACTGCGGTAGCTGCCTGCAACAAGCAACATGAAAAGCAAGCATTTTATAAAAAAAAAAACGTGAATACAAATATAAAATAGAGTACAGTAATTTAGTTACACATATTTCTGTGTTAATATTATTATGGTTTATTTCCTCTAATAGTGGAAAACCATTGAGGCATAACCATTTTACTTCTGAGGTTGTGAGGTTTGTGTACATCTCCAGTACTTTCTGAGACCACTCTGACTCAAAGTTTGGCAAAAAGCAATGTTTTTCCTTCCAGGGGAGGGTGACATATTACTTTTTGGAATGTGAATGATCTAACACAAAGTCAAGAATGAGTTTACAAAAATGTGTGCAACTGCCACGTGGCCCTAGGCCTCCAGATTTATGCAATCTGCCACGACTGGACTCTTATTTCAGATCTTCTGATGCCAGTTGAGGGTCATGAACAGGTAACATCTCACCTGCTGTGGAAAGCAGTCTGGTTATAACCGGACAAATGAACTAACAGCCAACCGCAAATGTTTTTAGTTCATTAAGAATTTATTTTATTCACTTTTAAACTTTGACCTGCTTTTATTGCATATTTATTCTTCTTGCTTATATAAACTGACCCACACTACCACCATTCCTCTGCAAGCAGTGGTCAGTGTAAAGAACCTTGTAAGCTGTTAGCAGGAACTGTCATGGCTTTTTGTAGAATTAAGATAATTCACTCCGAGCTGGCCCCATGTATTAGGCATTATCCAGTTAATCTAGTCAGAACTGATTTTATTTACTACATGTTACAGAATAACTGTTCAATATCTCCACAGGAAGATCTGGACCATCCCTCTGACAGAATCCTGGACAAATCCACTCATTTCCATCAAATACAATTCTCCTTCAGCCAATGTCATGGGCTTTTTGCCTAAAAGAGACATTTGATTAACTTCGGGTTTACCGTCCTGTTTGTTCAGAAATGTCCATACAAAGGTTAGCATGAGCAAGGTGTTCTCATGAGATTTTCTCCTAATGACACATGCACTGTAGAACAATCTAAAACCATCACCTGTGGTTGCCATGGAAATGTAATAAAACGTATGGTGAACATGTAAACAATTTTACAGGACGGTGGGTTTGTTACTTGTAATGTTTACAGGTAGTGATGCTAACATTTTCAGGGCACTTTTTACAGGATAATTCATTAAAAACAGTAAAATCCTGTAAATCCCTGATGACCGATTGTGTTTAAATTCTTACTTTTGAATCAATTTTTTAAATTATCAGAATTTTTCATAACTAATAAAGGTTTTGTGTATTAGATCGAATACCCAC